CCACAGGGTTCCTCTCACGCAACTGAGAACATTAAGCGTTTGACCCTAAGCAGCAGCTAGGGTTTTCCAAACCTGAAAAGAATTCTACTTGTAAGAACTGTTTCAACCAAGCTCTTAACTAAGACAGTTTCTCTTTCCAGTCTGATGGCGGTCAAATGGAGGGAGGTCCAGAATTAGAACTGCAGTGGGGAAAAAGCTGGAAGCGTGAAAGGGGTACAAAACAAGTGTGAAGCAGGCTTGTAAACGTATGCCTGGAAACGCAGGCAGCAAAAAAGAAGCTGAATGTGATATAGAACTTAAGGGTCAAAGGAAGGGCCCACGAGCTGGTTCAAAGGAAAACTGATAATCCTGTCAACTACTGACAGGACAGAGTTTGCCAAGGTTTTGACTGAGGACACAAGGCTCATGCTTCAACCTCAGATTTCAACAATTACTGGAAAACTCAATATACTCACTAGTGACCTGGCTTAGATGGACCAAACACACCCACTGCCATCAAATCAATTCTAACTCGTAGTGACCCCACAGGACGCAGTAGAACTGCCCCATAGGGTTTCCTAGGCTGTCAATCTCCACAGAAGCCAACTGCCACATCTTTCTCCCACAGAGAGGCTGGTCGGTTCAAATTCCCCACACTTGGTTAGCAGCCCAATGCTTTAACCACAGCACCATCAGAGCTCCGGGTTTACATGGAGACTAATGTGTAATTAGGTGTGAACCCCTCATGCAGCTCACCTATCATTTCCCCTCAAAAATTCTGCCCAAGTTAATGTCAGAACCGACCAAGGGTACACTAAAAGTCAGGCGTGTTGTAAACCAGACTCTTTAGACAGATTTGAGAAGGCACGAGAGGAGGAAAGCAGGTACCACGTTTAAGGTCTTCAAGTACATGCCTTTGTACTACCCTGCCACAACTTGCTTTTGTACCATTAACAGCATATTCTGAATCAGAAAGCCAAGTCCAATTACATTACCACCCAAAGTTAATGCAACTCTGGTATTTGTCCTAAATAGAAAGTCT